GGGAGGAAAAATTCCTCCAGAAATGTAAATAATAATTTAAAAATCCCAGACTAACTATGGGTCAAAAAACCCCTGCTTTCTGTCTTCAATAATGGATCTTATATTTGTTGCAATATACTGAGCAAACAGCACTAACACAGATGCAGAAAATGTGATACTAACATCTGAAGTCATACTAGCTTATCCTACTCCTAGTGCAAATTCATCTTCACCTTGGATTGATCCACTGAAGCTGTGTGTTTATTAAAGCAGATATTGAATGTCTTACCCTGAGACCAAAGCAAAAATCACAACTTTTTAAAATCTTCAATAGCAACTTTGCAACAGAAGCCTGTTAGGTGGAAACACCTCAAGTATTTCATTCTATGCTCGTTTTATTACACTTTCTGAGAATGGAAATAGAGTTAAGGATTTCTCCTCCAGGCATGAAGGAAAGACCTTTGAAAATCTTTCCAGTCCCATGAGATAGAGCTTGTAAACCTAAGAATTCGACGACTTTCACCACAGTCTTTTCAAGCACTCCATCGGAAAAAGCCTTTCTTGGTATTCATTATCTGATCTRTCCAAAGTTCATCTTTCTTTTTGAAATGGTGAAAAAAGTGTGACAGAAGTAAGCACATTAGATAATTCTGAATTTTTAAAAGCTTAACAAGAGGCTTCTGAAAACCCAAAAGGAAAGAGAAATCTAACTTAAAGCTGGAAAGAGAATGCCATTTGGCAGAGTTCTAAACTGAAATATCCTGCTTAACCCTTGATTGCAGCTCAATGTGTTCCAGATTGCTTCAAAGAGAACTATCTTGTGATGCTGCAAGTACTAGGTATGTCAGAAGATCTCACGAATTTCAACTGAATGTAAATAGAGAAGTAGACTATCTCATCACAATAGGCCTGACAAGATACCTGCAGATTAACGGGTTAAATCGTCAAGAAAAAACTGGAGGTGGTTACTCCTCTAATTTTATGAAATCTAATGCCTGTAGAGGAACAAAGTGAGGCTATGCATCATGGGGCAAATGGCAGAAAAATACAGATACCTTCTCTCTGAAAAGCAGGGTCTTGTGCAGGTGCCACACTAATTTTCCGGGGTGGAACAAAACCACATCATCACTTATTTATCCAAGAACTTTGCAAGATTTTCTCCTTTTATTTGATTTAAAAGATTTCTTGAAGAACACATTGGTAGTAGATAAAGTGTATATTTATACTAATGCTTTAAAAAATTGTGTTTAAATAATACAAATATAATTTTAAATCAAGCTCAAAACTTGGCATGTACATATGGCTCATTGAGGAACACTAAGTTACTGATGATAAAGTCAAAACATAAAATCACGAAGAATTGGATGAAGAAAAGTGAAAAGAAGTTASAGTGGAAAATGCAATTCAGAGAATTTATTTTCCAATCTGTACAAAGCAATTTGTGAAAATGAGGATTCTGAATATATTCCAGAAGATGCCAGATAAAGAACTCTCAAACTGAACTCAGAGACCTATCCATACCACCTAAAAAACTCTCTACATCCATCTCCCTACAGAGTTCACTCTGGTTCACTGTTTCCTTTGGAGCTATTGTCTGCCATGGGGTTACCATCAGAGAACACTGGTAGGCAGTACTTCCCTCTAACATCTATTTTCAACGGCCTAAATTGGTCTTCATAGGATTCCATTGTGCACACTGCAAAGAAACTTGTCTTGTTGCCAGCTAGAACTCTGAACTACATGTCTTTCTTTTCTTCACTGTTCTTTTTTTGGTTCACAAGCAACCTCCTACCAAAAGCAGAATCTGCAGAASAGACTACATCCAAGCAATAATGCAATGAAAAAGTATGAAGAGAAGCCCAGGTGGCCACCTTGCAAATTTCCAATGTGGAAGCCTTCGACCTCTCCGCCCAAGAAGCAGCTATAGTCCTAGTGTAATGAGCTTTACAAACCCTGGGAGCCTCTTTACCCTTAACTACATACGCCTCTCTAATACAATCCCTTAACCATCTAGCTAAGCAACCCTTAGAAGCCATTTGACCCCTCTTAAGACCCCCTAAGAGTACAAACAATCTGTCAGAAGATATGAAATCTTTGATTCTTCTGTGATAAACCCTAAGTGTTCTTCTTACATCCAATTTATGCAGCCGTTGCTCTTTGTCATTGCTGGGTTTAGGGAAAAATGAGGGCCAAGAAACTGTCTGGTTTAGATAAAACTCAGATGCCATCTTTGGGACAAAAAAAAATTTAAAAAGAGGAACCATCCAAAGAACTACTTTGTTTCTGATGGAACTTTACAGATGTTCTAAATATCAAGATCGAAGTACTACAGCATATAAAACAAAAAAATCAATTGACACTGAAACAGCTATACACAAACACACCACTTGACATAAGCATATGAAAAAACATTATTTTTGTTGCATCTCTGTGTCAGTTACATAAATTAAAAGTCTACCATGAATACTAAAAGCAACCAAGAAGAAAAGGAAACAAGCACAAGGTTTCTATGTGATGCCTAGGGAAACTTTAGGTCACTTGGACATTAGCCTACTTTTATGAATTGGCCACCTTTCCCTAATTTGTCAGCAGTRCTACTTGTAGAGCACTGAAACAGATATCCCTCACTGCAGAGACTGAGGGGTAGGCTGGATATACCCAACCTAGCTTTAACTCACTGAGAGCATGGTAACTATCTAGCACCACCAGCACACACTTCAATCTGGGCTACTTTGGTCTGCTTGTTGGGCTGGTTCTGCAGCCTGTGCTGCACTATGAATCTGATCTTGGTACCCAAATCAATTTAAAAGTGCTTTGGACATATCTACACTCTGTCAAATTAAACAAGATTTCTAGTAATAAGGCTTCTAAATAAGTACAGAAGATGGTCATTATATTGTCTAGTCACATATCGTGCTCTGATGAAAATAAAAAAAGGATTCTAATAAAAAAAAAAAACCCTTCTTATCAAAAACTCAGCCTTCATCAGTGACAAAAATAAGATTATCAATGCAATGCAGGATATTAACCGAGAAAAATCTAGAGGGACTTAACAGAACCTGGAACTACCAGGAACATAGTTTTCATTCTCCCACATCAAATCATCTTTCACTTCACTACAACTGAGATTTCTGACAACATGAAATGAGAAATGTGTTACCAACACAAACCCTTCTATTCAGACCTCTTATTAAAAATTTCTTCTTTTTACATATTATCTGTAAACATATSACTGAGCGAAGTTTTATGAGTAGAACCACCTGATCAGAACAGCAATTCTAAAAACAAAAGCATATCTGAAGACTGCACTAAAAGCACCTGAAAAATATTTACCTTCACTTGTTTTTCAGGATAAAACTAATTCTATGTTTTCTTTGGAATATACCTTCTACCCACAAGACTGACTCCTACAAATTCTAATAATATTTCCCATTCAGGTTAGATTAAGTGAAGTTACCAATTAAGARCCAGCTTGCTATAGAAATGATCACTCTAAAAGAGTATTTCTCAATGAACGCAGCTTAACACTCTTTAAAGAAACAGTTCTGAATTTAACTGAGCTTGGAAAAATGTCTGCAAGGTAAGTTTTACTTCCTGTAAAGTAAAATATTTCTTGCAAATGTTGAAGTCTTTAAGTTCTCTGAATTACTGGAGGACACGTCTTGGAATATAGTTACTTAAATATCAAATAAATTTCCCATAAAGAGTTTTTCATTATTTTTTTACACTTTCTCACAGAATATAGTAATAAAAAGAACATTTACAATTACCCTGACTGAATGTTTACCCCATCCAACACGAGGAAAACTCTACAATACAAGAAGTTTAACACCTCTTTGTAGGATCATAATGTATTATAGCTTAACATTTCTTAATAATTAATAAAACTGAGTGACTAAAGAAGGCAGAAATACATTGAAGCCAGTAACAAAAATGGAATTTGAATGCAAATTTTATTAGAGCATTGATGTATATTCTAAAAATATGCAGGTTAATCTGTATTTCTGTATTTTGGAGTGTCAATATTACAKGTGAAGAATACATCAACAAAATGTATGCCTTGGAACGCTTCTTATTTAATATTTTTATTTTCATCAATTTACTATACTGAGACTTCATTCCCAAAACACCTTTATGATCAGTCTGCAGCTTGACTATAGAGACAGTGAATATTTGACTTCACATATCCTGTCTCCCTGAGCAGCCTGGCCTCATTTCTGGTCTGATCTCTTCCTGCTATAGAATCAAAGCTCTTGAAACCACTTCTCTCTGATGACTTGTAGGCTCTCTACTGGCAGAAGCAGCAGAGTAGAACATTTATGAGCATACTGTGACCTGGAAGRTGTTATTCACTTGAATTTTTCTTATATCAGGTTCTCCTGAATACAATTACATGCAAAAAGAAGTGAACTTGGAACCTATAGCACATACAAACCTGGAGCTTGATCATTTTACTGATGTAGAGCCTCCTTCCATAAAACACCCAYTGAAGCCAATAGGATAAATATGCTTGTAAATATAGTACATATGAGTAAGTGTGAGAAATATAGGTTAAACAAGGACCCTATCCTTAAGCAATTAGTTTCATGTACACTAAGAATAACTAAACTGATATTCAAGTCAGTGCTTTTTTCTCTTGAAAAAGGCAGCTTTCATGAACAAGCTCAGAAAAAGTCAGKTACAACGAATTCCATGTATTGTTGTGTCCTATGTGAAGCACATATGTGGATTTTATAGACAATCCGGTAGGAGATATCTTGTTGCAGTGTCTGATAGTTTTCCATCATGGTTCTCCATCAATACATACACTCACTACATCACATCTTTATACACAAATAGAATTCTTTTCTACATGTCATTGTGCTCAAATGTAAATGTGCATATTTCAAAAACTTTGTCAGTGGATATTGTAACATTTATTTGCAAAATATGATGACATAATTTAGGTAATAAATGTTAAAAAATCATATAAAAATTTTTTACACAAATTAAACTAATTAATCAGGACAATCATTCATTACCTTGAACATTCTTATTCCTCTCCATAAATGAAGGCAGCAGCAGAATTTCTGTAGAGAGTTCTTCAGTTTTATCCTCCATTAATAAAAAGAGTTTGATAAGTTGCGAAAGACATTTGAGTTGATACAAGGTTAAGCAGAAGTTCCGTCCTTTCTTGTGGTATTCCTGGGAAGCTATTGAAGTAAAATTACAAAATAGCTTTTATTTTACCTATTAGAAAAAAAAAAAAGATCCTGCAAAACAGATTATGTAAGATAGTATAATATATCAAGTAATTTCATTTTTCTTATAGCATAATGTATCTTTTTTCTCATTATAAAATACTGTTACATTATTTCTTCCTAAGTCGTCAGCGTTTCTTAATTATCTGCGAAGTTCCAATTGAATTCCACATTTTGTTATTCATTAACTAGGATTTTTTTCCAGGCAATGGATCTACTCAGAAACATTCTCACCTGTATTTTACAAAAAAAAAACCCACTGTGTTGCAAAAGTCGAAAGGGAAGAAAAACACATCGTTACTGTATTTTAATGGTTTGGGACATCACATCACTTGTCACTCTGCAAGTCACCTTGTCTGTTTAACAATCTGCTAGCACAATACAGTTGATGAATATGACATTTGAGTGAAAGAAACATCAATCTAACACTCCACAACTTTAAATGTGTGGGGTTTGAAAACAAGTGAGACTGTCAGTGAGCAAATATCAGCAAGTATTATAACTATAAGCATTTGGTATTTAAAAGAAGAAACTGAACATTTTATTTTGAAAGGTTAACACATGCACTCATAACATATAATCATGTTACATCAACCAGGGAACTCTGATTTGAGCACAGTCAGACGATAAATGACTGTGAGACGTTTCCAATTCAGTATTACCAAACCACATGGGTTTAAGTATTTTAATTTTATAATGTCTTTAAATGTAACAAATTTGCACTTTTATGCAAATTGTGGTGAGCTGATACCATGTTCCCATGCAGTTCGGTTGCAGATGTAACATCAGCGGAACAGTTTATCTAGAATATGTCAGAGGGAGAGCCAGAGTAGTTGGAAAGGGAAGCTCGGAAAGAAGACAACAAAAAGAAATTGATTGAAATGTACTTTTATGTGTCAAATCTTTCTTACCTTTGCATATTTTAAGTACTTTGTACCTTCCTTTCCCCTCAAAGTTTCTAAATATTGTTTAAGGCATTTACAAATCACTTTTAAACAGACATAGATCTAAGKAGAAGAGCTGAACTTTGAATACTAATTCCCTAATTTTCTATTCCAATTTTGCAGCCTTAGAGATTGAACTGCGCGTTTTGCATCCACATCTGGATTTCCTTAAAGTTCCAAACAGATGTATTCATGTTAGCCTCTTGCATTTCTAAGAATGCCAAGAGTTACACATRAATGCCTCTGTTAGTGTCTTTTCTCTCTCAATGACGAGTAAATAACAAATCTATTGCTGGATTTCTGATTTTAAGTCTTAAACCTACAAAAAAAAAAAAATCCCATTTTGCTATTCAGAGGATTTTAGTCCTTACCTGAATACTASAGAATATAATCTGAGTTTAACTGACATGAAATAACTGCCTGAATCTACATTAGATTGTTGTTGTAAGAACAACAAAACACACCATAAAAATGAATAAAACTCTAGTTTTATCCCCTATAATTCAAAAACCTTGTGATGCTTCTACCCCATCTCTTGAAAACAAGGAAACTTTCCACTTATTTGATTGCCTCAAATGATACTGTCRTTATTAGACTGAAAGGAAGCAGACCTAGAAGACAGAGGTATATCACAGTAACAGTATTTTTAGAACACATTACTAAACACAGAAAAAGTAAAAACTTTTACTTTCAATGATCATTCAAAATATATTTCAGTTTTATTGTTTCTCAGAAATGACAACTCATTTATTTGRTGCTTGATGTTCAAGTAGTGTGCACACACACCTGAGTATCCAAAGCTTAAGTGAAAGGGCTTATATACACCCAGACTATTTGGTTTAAAATACTGATGGTAGCATTTAGTTTTAAAGACCACTGACCAGGCTGCTTAAACATGCACATCACAGTCCATTTTTTAGCAGACTTTTCTGACATTGTTCTGATTGGACAACCACAGGACAGAAACCCTTAAGAACTGTGTAACACTGAAGAGCTAAGCAGCCAATGGCATGACATACAAAAAAATCTCAAAACAGGTTTATAAATCTTGTAGAAGATTGCTGTGAAGAAAACATTTCTCCATGTGGATAGATGTGAAATAGACATGAGGACTGACTGTGACATATGTTCAATCAAACCTTCGTGACATCAGTTTGGAGGAAAATTTGCCATATTCACATAGGAGAGTAYGGTTACTCTGAAAAACTTAATGAATGGATCATGACTTACAGTGTCAGATCAGAAAACTAACAMAACTCATTTACCCAGGTGACACTGTGCAGCAAGAGAAGTACCCCTCTGTGATGAAAATGGTCTGAAATTGTTGTTAGCATCCTTTTCACAGAGGACCATACAGAAGGTGGCTGAAAGCACATGATCTCAGCCAGCCACGAATCAGTTAAGCAATGGCATTCCATTCTAACGGCAGGATAGAAAGGAACATGGAGAAAGTTACATGATACAAACCAACTTCCTTCATGAACCACTGCTATTATCATTCTTCTAAATTTGATTTTTTCTGTATGTCTTGACTTCAATTCATGTAGTCTTTGTACAAGGAAATAGCTGCAGAAGGATCTTTTGATACAGACAAATATCAAAGGATATGTAGAATTCCTGCTAAAGCAATAGCTAGAGAGAAGAATTTCTGAAAAGGAGCAGAAAGGCTGGTACAGAGGCTACAGAGAGGTGAAGTGCATCATACTGCCTTTTTCAATATGCCAATGGGCTGATTTTGCAAATATTACTCTAAAAGGAGGTGAAATCAGGACCTAAGCAAACACAGAGGAGTAAGAAAAGTTTCTGAGCTCTTGAACATAGCCTCAGGCTCCTGTCTCTRCAGAACAAGAATCACGCAAATACTGCTGTACAAGACCAATGCCTATGCTGATGATTTCTAAACTGATCTGGCTATTCTGCCRGCAGAAATAGCCTAAGTCAGTACAATGAGTTATCTTCAGCCACAAGAAGCTAAGCACAGTGTTAGGGATCACTGAAACCTGGCTGCTACTTGAGGAACAGGAAATAAAGCATGATAATATGGCCAGCAGGCTCCTTGTCAGCCAGGGCTCCWTCCTGCAGATCCTAAGCAAGGCTGACCCTGAGATGATAGGTTTCAACCATGACAGCAGATCAGCAGTCAAGATCATGGTGATGACACAGACCTGAGAGTCAGGAAGCTAATTTACCATTTYGGATCTGGATCTGGATCTGGATCCGGTCTGGGGAAGGTAACCATGAGTCAGGCACAGTTCAGTGGAACCACAGTGATAAGGCAAGTTCAGGCTCAAGACAGGGAAATTCAGTCAATGGGGTCCACTTTGGTGAAGATGAATATCAGGAAGCTTTGGTGAAGATGAATATCAGGACCCTGTGATGCAGCTCAGATAAGGACTGGGGACCCAGGTGCAGCTGAAATACATCTCTTGGGCAGGCTGCAGTGTAGGTCCTGAAAAGGCTGCTCAGGACTCACTATTGCACRCAAAGCTTTGTTGTACAGCTCTTAAAGAACTTGAGTTTTCAGACAAAAACCTCAGAAAAACTGGAAAACTGTCTTTCTGCATCACAGAGGACAACACAACTGTTTTGTCAAGAGAAAAGAAGGGCAAGTATTTGAAATTTCTGCTATCTARATGGCAGTTCTTTCTGTGGGATAAGAAGCAGAAAGAAGACAAAAAAATTGCTTGAATTAAAAATTAACTTGAGTCTCCACTGCATTTATTTGTAGCAGGTAAATAAATCTTGATGGTTCATTACACAAAACTGGAACAAAGCAAAGGAATAAGCTCAGAACATCCATGCAATAAATATCTCTACATTTAGATAATCTGTACTCTTGACTTCCTATCACACAGAGGCAGAAGGGACTTAAATGTATTTTATTTCTTCAAGCATGCTAATTTTCCACCCCAGCTATCAAAAACCAAGCAGCAGAAATCTGCCAACCCAAACAGGATTTCTTACAGAAAAAAGGCCCAAGTAAAACTAAGAGTGAATGTCTATCAATTTGGGCAAGATCTCAGTTACACAACACTAGAGAAACTAGGAGTTCTATTTTCTAGTTTGGCCTTTCATTTTAGCAGAATGTATTGAAGCTGAAGAAATCTTCCCAAGATCTGAAGGATATGCCATCCTTGTCGAAGAATAAAGCAGTCCGTTTTACCAAAGATCATTTGGCTGGATGTAGCTGGACAGATGGGATCACAGAATTTCACTTCACCAGTGATGAAGTTGAGAGGTGTCCACATGAATTTGAAGACAGCTAATAAGTTAATTAAAGGATTTTTCAGGCAACACAGAGTAAAAGACATTCTATAAAGCACTTGATTATGGTACCTGACCTTCTCCTAAGTCCTTAAGCTCAGTAGCAAGGTACCTGCCTTTATCTTAACCCTATAAAATTTTTCCCTCATCTCTAAAAAGGAAGAAGCATGAGAAATAAGGTTGAACTAGAGCTAGATGACTTATGTATATCTGCTAACTTGCAATTTTATAGCAAGTTTCAGAAGTGATACTTTCTTCAAAGCTGTAGCTCTTGAAACCATTAAAAAAAAGTGTTCCAACCTCCTTGGTTATAGCCTRGAGGCATTTAAAATCTCAAAAGGCATAAGAAAACATGTATGAATGAGACCCATAGGTTAAACATAACTTTTGTTATTATTTTTTCTATTTTTTTTAAATAAGCATGGCACCTCAAATGTTTTAAAAAAAAATTGAATTCACAGTATCTCAAAAACTGAGTGGCTAATTCTGATAATTTCAACTCATCCAGGCATGTGACACTGTAAAGTGTGGCACAGATATCCCTGTATCAGAGGTGAGSTGGCTGTAAATGTTCAAGAATAGCTACATATTGACAGTGTTGCTTTCAGATTAATTAGCTTGTACTACTCATTCGACAGAGCCACATGGCTAAACTGCTTCTGAGACATGCGGTGGAATCCTTGGAAAGCAACCTGATGACTGCTTTCGTCAGTGATTACAGTGGGGATTTCTCCCTCAGCAGGA